TTTCGCCCCGTAATGGCCTGTGCATGGCCACGAGGGTTTGAGCATACTTTTCGTTTTCGACCGTTATTGAACCTAGTTTGGATTGGTTTAATAACTGTCGAAAATGAAAAGTATGCTGGTCCTAATCCTTTTAGGACCTAACCTTGAGAGCATGTTCCTGAAAGTTTTCATGCCACTACAAGGTACGAAAAAAAAGTAAAGGGGTTAAAGGTGCCGATGTGCGCTAAAAGTGGCCATTACGGGGCGCCTTTCCCTGTCCTACGCCTTTTAACGAGCAATTGAACCATTGCTCTCAGTCTAGATATCGACTCGTAGCTTACCGACCTGACCCCATGGTGGTACCTACGGCGAATGTTGGAATTCTCCTTGAAGAGGCATGAAGCACTGCCAGGACAACAACCATCGTAGTAACCAAAGTACTGTGTAAAGTCATGTTACACTATCCGGGCCGAATTGAATTAAAACCTGCAGTAACAGGGCAAAAACGATACACATATCAGCTCTCGGGGGCCGTGTTTTGTTTAGATCAGTGGCACTAGAGACAGCCGGGACATTCCATGTGAAGTCAACCAGGCCTTAGCCACCATGGGCTCCGATCCGGTTCTCGTTTTCAGGGTTTGTTACCCCTATGGTCCCATGAAATAATCGGTACTTGGTTTTGGGTCCGGCCCCCCAGGGGCTGGGCTATGGCCAATTTACTTTTTTGCTAAATATTGAAACAACACAACTTTGGAGGGCAATATCGCAGCAACCATTCGTCGTAGGTCAAATCCGAGACCAGATTTGGAAAGAGGATGAAAAACTGAATCTTTTTTGTCTTTGAAGTTTTTATGTCCAAAAACTTTTTATAACTTCAAAACTTTAGTTAAGTTTTAAAATTAGCGCCATTTCCTAGATCCTCAACCGATTTTGACCAATCTGGGCTTAAAAGATAGCTTAAACCCTTCCCTAAACGAAAATGTTAACCAAAAAATGTGTTCGGCTTCGTTCCCGAGAGCGAGCCATTTTCGTGAACCCCTGCAACCACGTATTTCACCAAATTGTAGTGACGGCCGCACTCGATACCACACTGGACGCTCTCTTAGGTGTTTTCGGCTCAAAGCGAGCTTCCTTGTTGTTTTTCTAAGGTCAGGGGACCCAAGCGCCTGTCAGGTAGGCCAACAACTAGCAGACCTGCAACGCACTAGTGACGACAGGGTGGCCTGCCTTGCCCCTCGAGAGTGCGCCAGGCAGCGCGCTCTGGGCGATCGGACCAGTACTACACCCCACCACCCCGCCGTGATATCTATACGTGGGGGTGGGTGTTGTTGTTGTTAGTTATTGTTGCACAGCAGGGTAGGGGATTTCAGGCGTTTCAGTGAGCATTTGGGTAAAGTACATGTTTGAGTTTTCTTTGTCAGTCCCAGCAGATTTGACAGCACGCTTCAACGGCATTTCGGAATTAATCTGAAGGCATACCAGTCAATAACATTGAAGATAGAGGCTAGTAGTGTTAAAGAAGATACTTTTATTAGGATATAGCTACAGTTTAAGTAGATACTTTTCTTCATGCTTTCCAGCAGACTTGACAGCACGGTTTAACGTCATTTTGGCATTAATCTGAAGGCATACCCAGAAGATACTTTTCTTTGGCTATAGCTAAAGAAAAGTATCTTCTTTAACACGAAAGCAAAATCGGTGGAGAACAAGTACCAGGTGGGTCACGGACCCCGTGTGAAATGGTTACTATGCAACCCGCTCGGAGCTCTGCATCCGGGCTTGCCTATGCGGCAGTCGGCGTGCGAACGGGAGGACTAGGGGTGCCACCCGTCTTGCCCAGCCCCAGTTGTCGTTCCGCGGACACCTCGCGGCCTCCGCGAGGGCAGCCCGCCGCGGGTCTCGCGAGTCCTCTCGCGGACTTCGCAAGTCCTTTCACGGGTTTCGCGAGGGCAGGCCGCGAGGACACGGAACGCCCGCGAGGACTCGCGAAGCCCGCGGCAGGACTCGCGGAATCCGCGGACTGCCCTCGCGGAGGCCGCGAGGTGTCCGCGGAACGACAACTGGGGCTGGGCAAGACGGGTGGCACCCCTAGTCCTCCCGTTCGCCCGCCGACTGCCGCATAGGCAAGCCCGGATGCAGGGCTCCGAGCGGGTTGCATAGTAACCATTTCACACGGGGTCCGTGACCCACCTGGTACAAAACCACCATAAGACTGTCAAAGAGAACTCAAACATGTATGTTTACCCAAATGCTGACTGAAACGCCTGAAACATCCCCTACCCTACCGAGCAACAATAACTTACAACAACACCCACCCCCACCTGTAATATATCACGGCGGTTTGTCAGGGTGTAGTACAGGCCCGACCCTGGATGGCGGGGTGTAGTACTGGCCCGATCGCCCAGAGCGCGCTGCCTGGCGCACTCTCGAGGGGCAAGGCAGGCCACCCTGTCGTCACTAGTGCGTTGCAGGTCTGCTGGTTGTTGGCCTACCTGACAGGCGCTTGGGTCCCCTGACCTTAGAAAAGCAACAAGGAAGCTTGCTTTGAGCCGAAAACACCTAAGAGAGCGTCCAGTGTGGTATCGAGTGCGGCCGTCACTTCAATTTGGTGAAATACGTGGTTGCAGGGGTTCACGAAAATGGCTCGCTCTCGGGAACGAAGCCGAACACATTTTTTGGTTAACATTTTCGTTTAGGGAAGGGTTTCAGCTATCTTTTAAGCCCAGATTGGTCAAAATCGGTTGAGGATCTAGGAAATGGCGCTAATTTTAAAACTTAACTAAAGTTTTGAAGTTATAAAAAGTTTTTGGACATAAAAACTTCAAAGACAAAAAAGATTCAGTTTTTCATCCTCTTTCCAAATCTGGTCTCGGATTTGACATGGTTGCTGCGATATTGCCCTCCAAAGTTGCGTTGTTTCAATATTTAGCAAAAAAGTAAATTGGCCATAGCCCAGCCCCTGGGGGGCCGGACCCAAATCCAAGTACCGATTATTTCATGGGACCATAGGGGTAACAAACCCTGAAAACGAGAACCGGATCGGAGCCCATGGTGGCTAAGGCCTGGTTGACTTCACATGGAATGTCCCAGCCACATATACACCAGAGATATTGTCAAAAAACTCTAAAAGCTATCTTAATGGATCCCCAGAAATTGACCATATGACACCCATATTGCTCCCGTGCATTAAAATGTTGTCCTAGTGTCTGTCTTAGCGCTCTGGAACTATGTCGAGGTGAAGGTCAGCATTACGCATAATACAAGGAATCTATGACCCGACTATTACGAGTTATTTCCCCAGGGAGCGGCAAGGGACTAGGGAGCGCGTGAAGCCATGCTCGAGCGAGGTGCGGGGGTTACGGACTTTTCTTCGATTGTGAAATCTAGGCCGTTGTTTGCAAAACGCTTTACACAGATCAAATGAGCCCGAACTTCGGGGTGCATTAGGCCTAGTAGACTGCCCGATACTTCCAATTCAACCGAACACAAGGGCGGAAACCTTTACATGAACATGGCGCAGACGAGGTTTTACCTACATTTTATGATTTCTCGTGTTTTTCGGTGCTTTCACTTCACTTTATTATAAGGTAAGGTGGGAGTTTTGGGAAGGGCGATTAGCCTAATGCCCCCTAAATTTCAAGTTCTTTCCACCGGTGCAAAGCATTTTGAAAAACACAGTCTAGTTTTCGTAATCTCGAACAAGTGCGCAACCTCTGCACTGACGGCGCGAGCATCGCTTCACGCTCTCCCTAGGCCGTTGCAACCACCCCTGGGTCTGCGTAGTCTTTATTGGCGTGGAACATTTTTAAGTTACCTCCTATTTCCATTAGTTTTTTAAAATGAATTCGGGGTTAAGTTGATTTGACTCTTTTTACATTAGAATCATGAAGACCTAAGTTGAGTTGACTCTTTTTACATTAGATTCATAAAGAGAGAAGTTGAGTTATCTCCTCTTGCCATTTTGT